AGAAACACATCTCACATATTAGTAGGAGAAATGACAATAACTTTATAGAAATTAGGTATTATTTTAGGAGTACAGGTAGGTGATTATGCTTGAGTTTGACATAATATTATTGGATATGGGCTAAAATGACCAACGTGGCCTGATTGTCTTATTGAGTTATGTGGATAATGTTGTGAGTTGTATATCAATTGTTGTGGTATATATATAAAAATAAGATAAGAGAATGATATTTGATGAAGCGAAAAATAGAACGAGAAAATTCACACCAAAAAAAAGTAACACAGCGGAATACACAGATTTACGTGGTTCGACAAATTGCCTACGTCCACGGAGTTGCAGAGGATTTTACTAATTGAGGAATTTACATCAGTCGATCGTTTCGACTTACAAGAGGAAAGGAGCGTAGGGATGCTTCGCTTCACAACCAGGAAGATGGGAGTGGTTGGCGCCTACGGTTCGCGACTGGACGAAGCGAAGCTTCGCTTCGCACGCGCAGGAGCAAGCCGAGGCGTCGATTCGCGAAATAAGGGAGGCGGGAGCGATTTCGCGATCGAGCGGGAGCGATCGGAAGGCATAAGGTGGGATCGGGATCAGGCTCCAGCATAACAAATCTCCCACTTGGAGACCGATACAAAAACAACAACATCTCCTTCTTAAAACTGATGTCCTCTACTGGCGTCGTCGACTTTTTCTTCAAGCATGAACCGTCCACCTCTGCAACTCAAAACCCTTATTTTCACACTAGCAGATCAACTGAAGCTGCGCACAACTTCAGTTTCTTAAAAGTAACACCCTCAGTTAACATATCAGTAGGGTCAATATAGCTTTGCACCTTTAAGCTATTTTTTGAATTACTCTTGTCACTGCTTACAACTCCCACTGCATGGGCAATATCGTGCCTCTGCTGAAAAGCATTTTCAACAAGTCTAGTCTTGTACCTCTAACTGCCATTACGCTCAGTCTTCACCTGGTACACCCACTTTTTGTGTAATGTTTTCTTCCCTGATGAAAGTTCTGCCAGCTCTCACTTGCTCGAACTTTCATCTTGCAAGATTTCCTCGTAGCTCTGTGGTTCTCCACCATCTGTCTGTGGAATAATAGTAATGGGTGTTCCAGACCCACTCTCCTCTTCACTTTCATCATCAACAGAACTATGAACTGTCAGTAAAAGTGTATCATGCACTTCTTCAGATACCATATTTGTGCTATCATTCTTCATATTTTTAGGATTCCTAAAGTTCCTCTTTCTGGGGCTAGCATTGCCACAATTCCAACAGGTTGCCTGTTGACCAGACTTTGATTTTGATCTCCCTCTATTTGAGTTCTTGTCTTATGATCTCCCTCTAAAATCAACATTCAGTGTCGAACTCGTACCAGAGATCTCGCCAGAATCTTTCTTACGCACCTCCTCAACCAAAATCAAATCATGAATATCATCTCATTTCAATTTATATTTACCTGCAGAACTGCTGACTATCATCCTCATGTCTTCTCAACTATTTGACAAGGAGGCTAACATATCAGCGAACGTATGCACGTATCTCGTCATCAAAATCAAATTCAACAGACGATAATTGATTTGTGATAGTTTTGAAATCATTCAGGTGTTGAGCAATAGAAAAACCTTCCACCATCTTCAAATTGAATAACTTCTTCATGAAGTACACCTTGTTATTCACCGATGGCTTTTCATACATACCTGATAAGGCTGTCATGAGATCTGCAGTCGTCCTCTCCTTGACTACGATGTGTGCAGCGGACCTCGATAGGGTCAATCGAATAACCCTCAGAACTTGTCGATCCAACAAATTTCATTCAGCCTCATCCATCATTTCATGTCTTTTCCCCAATATCGAAAGATCAAGTTTCTTTCCATAGAGGTACTCTTCTATCTGCATTCTTTAGTAACAAAAATTTGTGTCATCAAACTTCTCGATCCCTGAAACCTTCACTTCATCTGTAGCCATCTTTCTTCCTCAAATCTGAAACACGGCTCTGATACCAGTTGTTGTGAGTTATATACCAGTTGTTGTGATATATATATATAGTAATACAACAGAACACATAGATTTACGTGGTTCGGCAAATTGCCTACGTCCAGGGAGTTGCAGAAGATTTTACTAATTGAGAAATTTACACCAGTTGTTAGTCAATCGTCCTGACTTACAAGAGAAATCTCTCATTTCGTTGCTCTCTCATCTTCTCTCTCTGTTCTTCTCTCTCTACACTGAGATACACCGAATAAATTCTACACTTAGATACACCAAAGAAGACAAACTTGTAAGAGAAATAAACCCAATTTCTCTTTTGTCACAAGCCACCAAGAAGAAGCCAAAGAAGAACAATCTTCTTCTTCTTTTTTCTTTTTCCTTCACCACAAGGAATAAAATTTTGTACTTTCCTTCCTCTATCCCAAGGAAACCTGAAGATGAATACCAAAAATCGAGACTTCCCAAAACTAAAGGAGAGCCACTGTGATGCCTTACATCACGAAGAGGAGGGAGCGAAGGGATGCTTCGCTTCACAATAGAGGAAGGCGGGAGTGGTTGGCGCATACTGTTCGCGACTAAATGAAGCGAAGCTTCGCTTCGCACTCACGGGAGCAGACAAAGGCGCCAATTCGAGAAACAAGGGAGGCGGGAGCGATTTTACGATTGAGTGGGAGCGATCGGAAGGCGGGAGGCGGGATCGGAACGGGCTCCAGCACAACAGGATCACACCCATTTCTTAAAATTTTGTATCATGACCTAATTAATCCCACTATCACCTATACATTTACCATTAGACAAGCACGTGCACTTACTTGTGTTCCACTGAGGATTGCACGGGACATTTTATAGGGATTCGTATATAAAGCTCACAGAATTAGAGCTACATCGATGTGATTGTACATATGTCCTTGTTATGATTGGATGTTCTTAATGATGCATATATCAGGCATTAAAATACATTTATCATATCTACAAGCATTAAAGAATATAGAAATATTTTCTATGCACTCATGAGGTGTTATTGTACTAACACATCTATAAAGAGCGAAAAACGGCTACAAAGTGTACTAAAGTAAATATTATTGTTTGTTCGCATCTCTTACATGTTTGAGCTTAGGAGCATCTACAAGTTGGTCTTCCAACCTTGCATGTACCATACCCAAATGATTGTAAGATTTATATTTTCTTAATGTAAATAATCTCGAATTCTCTGAATCGAATCTGACTCAAAAAATATTTGGGTCAACACTAATTTGGATTTTTTTAGTCGAGTTTGTGTCGTGTTGACTCATGGCCGTCGATTACATAACACAACCCTCTATTTTTCGGATCCGAGATTTGTGACTCGGCAATGGCAATATTTTATTTTATATCACCTAATAAAAGAAAAAAAAAACCTCAATATATGCAACATAATATTCTTTTTGAAGAATTTTTTTTCTTTTATTAGTTGATACAAAATAAATAATAAAATTATAAATATTTTTTAACTGTAATATTTTTTTTTTTGTATCAACTGACGAAAGAAACAAAGAACTTATCTCAAAATATTTACATAAAATTTATATTACTCTATATTTAAAAAATGAACAAATATAAAATATTTTTAAAATTTACTAGGTAAATTTTTGAACAATTGAAAATTCATAAGAAGACAACATAATAATCAAAATTTTATCAAAATTTATTTTGTATACTTATTATAAAAAAAAAATTAGAATACTTTATTGTAACATTTTCTAAAATTTAAATCTTCAATTTACGATTATAAAATAAAATTTAGATTGCTAAAAATTCACAAAATGAAATTGATATGTATTTTTCTTTCTGTTCTGGGACAGTGTCCCGAGGAAGGAATGGAGAAGCCTTAGAGTAGCACAAACCTATTTTTCATTCTAGGTCATGCGAAGGGGGCAGTCCAAAATCATGCAGTTCTTTTGAAAAGACAACAGACGCTCTCAACGGTTAGGCACCTTCCAGCTTCTTCATTCTTTTGTGCATTTGATAAAAGCTTTTGAAAATTACTTGATAATATTTTTCATTTTATTTAAAACAAATTATTAAATTAATTAAATAAAAAATAACTATAACAATAGAGTCCCGTTATTAAATTAATTAAATAAAAAAAAATTTGGCCTGACTGACCACGTAGGCCTGATCCAAAATTCAATTGGGGTGAGGGTGAGGAAAATATTAGGTGCGCAGTTCACAAACCTTTTGTACATGATTGTATTCATGATTGTACTCAGGAATACAATAATATACAACATAGTTCACATGCATGCATACTTTGCACATAATATTCTCTCCACTATACTGAGAAAAAAATTGCGTACATAAGACGTATGCAGAGCTGCGTACGTCTGTAACCTGCAAACAGGTTACAGGAAGGATTTGAGGAGGTTATAACCGCGTTATACACCCTGTAACCTCCCTGTAACCTACCTATATATGAAAACAGAAGCGCGAAACTTACTCGAAGGTACAAGTAGGTTACAGGGAGGTTACAGGGGGAATAACGCGGTTATAACCTCCTAAAATCCTCCCTGTAACCTGTTTGCAGGTTACAGACGTACGCAACTCTGCGTACGTCTTATGTACCAAATTTTTTTCCCACTACTGGCCCTTTTTAATTTTTTCTTGAATAAATACCCATTTAATAACTTTATTTACAAAAATATCCCTTCTAAAAGTATGTTGGGAAAGAAAATAAAATTTTGACTTTTAACACTCCTAAATCAACAACCAAACTTTATACGAATGCGACTGATCGTTGCACTCAAACTTGCTGATTTCTGTATTCATTGTTTCAGTGATGTGGCAAATTGGGCCTTCAAAAGTTGGACCTTTCCGCAAGTTCGTTGACAGGTGTTGATCAACCGCTGGCATCATATGTCAACAATCGCTGCACAGACAATTCCTTAACCAGAAGCAACCTCCAACAAAATCTGCCTCAAAAAGGAACAGGGAGAAGTACAGAGGAAGCATAACGAGATCGCCGGAGAAGAGATGTCTTCATCATTAGATACCTTAAGTAACGTTGGTGAAATGGGAGACGAGCCCTGCTCCAATTTCGGCCCCGAGGAAGAAGGAAAAGAATCAAATGGATTCGCCGATAACATTCAGGGTGGAAGATTCGGCAACGGGGAAGAGATTTCCGCTGATCACGATGAAGGCTTCCTCACTGCTGCGCATGTAGTGGAATCGAACGGGCGGGCTTATGGGTTTGAGGAGGATGCTGGCGTCTATTTGTCTGATGGTCCGATTGTTTCTGAGCCTGAGGAGCTGACGGAAGAAGGGTTTCTTCTGCGTGAATGGTTGTTTGCTGTAATTTCTTTCCTAGGGTTGTCACCTGGAATCTTGCTCTCATTTTTGCCTTCTGCTTTGTTTCATTTGAAAAATTATTTCATATGCAAAGCATACGCTGTCTGATCTCCACCGTTTATCAGGATAAATATATATTTCGGTGAGCCTCATTTTTAATTTTATTTCTTAAATAATGGACGGTAGAGATTGGTGCATTTCTGCATTCGTTACGCTGTCCGTATGAAATAATTTTTAGTTTCATGAACTCTTAAAGTAGAATTCTTAATCTTCTAATGTAATGGCTAATGGTGTAATAAGTGGCAAAATTTTAAAAATAATATTTTTTTATAAATTTTTTGTTTTAAATAAACACCCAAAAAATCAAATATTCAAAATAAACAAAATAGCCAGATTAAGAGGCGATTCTGCCACGTCAGTATGAAAATCATTTGCTGGCGTGGTGATTTTTCCTTCATCATGTCATCAGGTATAATCGTCTGCTAAGGTGGCGATCTTATAAAAAATAGAGAATAATTACATATTATTATTATTATTATTATTATTATATTTAGAAAAATAACACAAATTATTTAGTTGAGTCGATAGAGTATAAGATTTTTAACTTTAAGGTCATGGGTTTGATCCCCATGATAGGTGTTTTTTGGATGCATAATTTTTATTTAATTATTTAATTTAACAAATAAATTAAAATTATATAAAGTTTATTAAATATTTAAATCTCAAATTAAAATTGTCTTAATTAAAACAAAAAAATCAACATTATAATATAAAATAAATTAAGTTTAATTATATGAATTTAAATTTACATAAAAAATAAATCAATCTTAAGACTGTTGTAGTATATAAAACAAATTTAAATGAAAATTGAAAAGAAAATTTTAAAAAATAAATCAATCTCTCTACTTCTTCTATATATAGGATCATATATGCTTTATTATGACTTTAATTAAATAAAATCTTAATAGTGGCGCCTTTCTATGTAAAATTTCTTATAACTAAACTTATTTTATTTTATATTATAATATTGATTTTTTAATTTGATTAAAAGAAATTTTTAAATTGAGATTACAACATTTAATAAATTTTATATAATTTCAATTTATTTTTAAAATTAAATAATTCAAAAAAATTATCAAGTAAAAATTAGGCATCTAAAAAATACCTACCATGGGGATCGAACTCATGACCATAAAGCTAAAAATTTCCCACTCTACCAACAGAGTCAACAGAGTAAGAATACTTTGCATTAATTTTCTAAATATAATAGTAATATATAATTATCCTCTATTATTTTTACAAAATTGCCACATCAACAGACGATTCTACCCACTGACGTGGAAAAGAAAAAATTGTCACGTCAGCATGCAATTTTCATGCTGTTGTGGCAAAATCGTCTGTTGACATGATAATTTTGTTTATTTAGAATAATGTATCGACTAAAACTGTCAACACAAATCTCAATGAAATCAGGCGGCCAAAGATAAAGGTCGAACAACCGAAGTGTCCAACTTAATGAGTGTGGTCTACGTCAGCTAGCTGACGATCAATCGCTCGATCAAGTTGACTGGCACGCAGTGACGGCAGATCCAGTCAACAGACCATGCCCGCGATTCTAGCTACCTTCATTTTCTACAAGGAGGTCCAATCACCACTAACCTGCTGACCAGCTTTACATCTTGCAAGGCAATCATCATGCGACTGATCACCCCACTTGATCGAACCCAGATATGTCGACCAGTTAATAAACGTCATATTCAATTGAAATTGTAATGCAAACTTAGTATTAAATCAAGACATTAACTAGATTAAAGACAATTTCCATTAGCGCTCTCTTCTTTCGGCACTTGAGGGCAATTTTCATAATCGCTCTTCTTTCTATGAATGTACAAAAATACCTCCTATAAATAGAAGGTTCTAGAATAAATAAATGGACATTTCCCCGGCCTCTCTACTGAGAATTTCCAAATGCTTTCTTCTCCCTCATTCTTCTCCCGGCTCTAACTCTCGAGACATGTATTTCCAAAAGACATTTTTGGATTCAATATCTTGAAAGATGATGCGGTAAGCGTGGACATGCCCAAATAAGAAGTGCAACCAACTATGAAGGAGAACCCTTGCAGACAGAAATAGCACCCATGGAATTCAATAGAAAGACGATGCGTCGAGATATACAGAAAGAGGTCTAGGCATTGAAAGTGCAAATAATGGACTAGTTCATGGCTTTTCACGCAACCATGTCCCAACATAACGCCCAACCATCACTAATGGAGGAAAAGTCTCGGGGAACCCACCCTCAAATGGATCCCCTTGACAATACGCCAGCGCCCCACGGTTGGCTTGGTGATCGACCAACCAAAAGGTCAGGGGATTCCCAACCAGCAAACAACGCCACATCTATGCAGACAATTCAACATCTGGAGGATTGAGTGGAAATGTTTGCTCGGTTGGCTATGGGCAACGACTTCTCCCAAAGAATCCTGGAAACCATACCCCTAACGAGATTCAGGATTTCTCACTTTGATCGTTATAAAGGAAAGAATGACCTGGCTGACCATCTAGCTTCTTTTGAGTCAACGGTCAGAGTTTTGCATATCAATGACGTCATAAAGTGTCGGTTATTCCTGACCAAGATGAAAGAAGCCCTGCTCCGGTGGATTAAAAGCCTGTCAGATGGAATCATCCCGGCCTTTTTTAAATTTCGGAAGCTCTTCTTGACACACTCTACTAATGTGCAAAAAACTTAGGAAGGACATAAAGACCCTGCTTCAGATCAAGCAGGGGGAAAACGAAAGCCTGTGAGTGTACATCACTTGTTTTTAGAAGAAAATGCTGGAGGTAAGGAATTTGAAGCCCCTCATCTCCTGGACCGCTCTAAAATAGGGGATCTGCAACAAGCGATTCAGGTATGACCTGAACCTACTCAAGCCAAGGACCTTTTCAGAGGTTCAAAATTAACAAATGACCACATCGCTGTTGAGAAAGTCCTTATAGAGTTCTTAGAAATTAAATTGGGGACATCCAACCAACGATCACAGAAGCGAAAGGGCTGAGATGACGATAAAAGGCCAAAGGACGATCAAGCCCCTGACAACTGACAGACTAATAATCCTTGAGCTTAGGATAACCAAGGGGGTGACCGAGGCAGCAAGGGTCAATGATACCATTCTGATCAGTAGTAGGATCGATATTATGAGCGACCACATGTGTGTCAAGAGATGAAAATATTGACACCCCTGAACATGTCAATGTCTGAGCTAGTCCAGACCATTCAAAACAAGAACTGCATCAAAAAATTTCTCCACTAAAAACTGTACCAGCATTGCGCAATCTAAACAAGTATTGCACCTATCATTGGGACCACAAACATGATATAGAGGAGTTTTTTCATCTCTGAAATTTGTTGGACGAGCTCATCAAAGTCGAAAAGTTGAAGGAGTGTGTCACCATTGGAGCACACACATAGCGACAAGGGAAGGCCTCAAAAGAGTAGCCCATAGATAGATAAGTGCGGTTGAATGAAATCCACGTAGTTGGAATTATCTCAGCTATCTTTTGTGGAGGCGGAGGGTTACCCCAATCATCTAACTTAAGAAGACAGGTCTAGATAGGTCGGGGAAGGTATGTTTCATCATCTCTTACACTCGTACTCACCCCCCAATTTTTTTCATGGATGCAGATCTACCCTTAAAGGGAACTTGTATAACGAGGTGATCATCATTAAAACACTCATAAACAACTACTAGGTGGGTAGCACCTTGTTCTTCATTGGTAATTCGATTAATATTTTGTTTAAAATGGTGTTAAACAAAATGGGACTCAAAATTGATTGTTCGGCAACATCAGTCGTTTATTCAGCTTCTCTGGGTAGAGGAAGCCCTGGGCATGATCACAATGTTGTCTCATGGCGAGATCAAAAAAAATAATTCACCAGCACGAAGAACTTTATCTTGGTGGAATCCTCACCGACCAACAATGCGATCTTTGGCTGACCACTAATAAATAGCTACCAAGTCGTGGCTTCAACCTACCGCATGGTTGTGAAATTGCTCAGAGAGGAGAGATAATCACAGTTCGGAGAAACCTGGAACAATCAATAAGCTGTTACATGAGAGGTCACCAGCACGACCAAGGACCGCTCAACATTCAGATACAGAGGGAAGGAAGTCACGAGACTAGTATGACCACCCTTTGAGTGCCTACAATTGATAAGGGAGAACAAGGTATGATTTTTCTAATTCGTGAAAGTCTTATGAAAGGCACATGGATGTGTTGATTAAGACCCTTTGCCAACATCGAGCGTGTTCATTTGGATAGTCGCGGAGATTCCCAGAGTCTCATTCGATGTTGCCTATCATCGGCTCAACATCAGGCCTTTCTCTCGATCGGTGCAACAAAAGCTTCAATCAACTGTGAGAGTCCTAACCAAACCAATTGCGGCAAAAGTCCAAAAGCTGAAGGAGGCGGGCTATATTTGGGAAGTCCACAAAATTTGGGTTACATTAGCAATCACAACCTTAACTGAATTTTCAAAGAATATAGTATAAAAATTTCTCCACCTCTTCCATAACGCTCTAATGAATAGAAATGAATACCAAATCTAAGTGATGCTTAAATGTGGCTATTTGGAGTTCCTTAGTCATTATATCTGCCAGGTTATCAGGGTACTAATCTTGCTCACAGCAATATCACCACAAGCATTAACTTCATGAACAACGTGGTAAGGAATATTAATGTACTTAATTCTCTCAGGAAACGTCTAATCTTTGCTAAGATGAATGACACTCTGATTATCACACATCAATATGGTGATCATCAAATTTTTACTAGACTCTTCAAATAGTTCTTTTAACAAAAGTGCTTCTTTGCAAGCTTCAATAATTGTCATGTAAGCAGCTGTAGTTGTAGATAGTGTCATTATTCTCTATACAATACTCTTCTAGCTAATCGCACAGTCACCAATAGTAAACACTTATCCTGTAAGTGATCTCTTTCTATCAATATCTCTAGTAAAATATGAATTAACATAGCCAACAACTCTTATCCTGTAAAAGATCTCCTTCTATCAAGATCTCTAGTAAAATATGAATTAAAATAACCAATAACTCTATTTGTAGTCCTCTTGAACTGCAAACAAGCATAGTTTATTCCATATGATTACATGCTCATATATCTATCAACTACTCTGACAGCATATGATAAATTTGGACAAGCACATACAATAGCATACATGGGAGATCCGACTAGAAATATGGAACTCGAGATATATATTCAATTTCATCATCGGATTATGAACACAGAGCTGATGCAAGTCTGAAATGCACATTTGATGGAGTACTAATAGTCTTGGCATTACGCATCTTTAATATATATAAAATTTTCTCAATATACCATTTTTGACTTAAAAATAAATTACCTGCATTTCCATCAATGTGAATTTTCATGTCAAATATTTTCTTTGTAGGTCTAAAATCTTTCATCTCAAATGCACTGCAAAGTTAAGCTGTTAACATCTAGATATCTTATTTATCCTTAATAGTTATTAATATATCATTGGCATATAAGAGTAAGTAAATAAATAATTCTTTATTATTTTTTTGAAGTAAACATGACTATCATAATTATTTCTCTTAAACTCATGAGTAGTCATGAATGAGCCAATTTTTTTATAACACCGCAAAGGAAATGATTTCATAACTTAAAGAGATTTCTTTAACAAATAAATATGGTCTTCTTTTCCTGTAACCAAGAAACCCTCTTGTTGCTGCATATAAATGTCCACAACAAGCTTCCATTAAAAATTTTAGCCCTTACATCTAACTGCTCAAGCTCAAGATCATGCTTAGTCACAATACTAGATAAAGCTTGAATTGAATTCTGTCTGACTACCAGAGAGAAAACACATGTAAAGTCTACACCTGAAATTTGTCTGAATCCTTTTGCAAGAAGTCTAGCCTTACATCGGACATCTCCAACTCCTAGTGTACCTTCCTTTTTAAACACTCATTTATAATGACCAACTTTCTTACCTTGAGGTACTTTGGCCAAATTTCAAGTTCTATTTTTATATATGGATTCAATCTCCTCTTGTATAACAATCATCCACTTATAGAGTCAAATGAATTCATAACTTCTTTAAGCTAGAAGGTTTTTCACCACCTTTGATACATTCAATTACATATAAAGCATAATCAACCAAATTAGTCATACCATACCTTTGAGGTGGCTTAATTTCTCTTCATGTTCTATTCTTGGCAATAGAATATTGTGATAGTTCTTGTTGTGATGGTGGGAAAGTAATATCATCATGAGCATTTGTACGCAACTCAAAACTTATACTCAAGGAAGTATATGTATCAATTTGAAGCTCTATTTATATATTACACATTTTCTTTTGATCAACATCTTTAGATTATGTAATAGATGTTATAGTAACATGACAAACTTATTAAATACAACATCTCTTTTAATGATCACTTTATTGGTTTCTCAGCACCGTAACTTATAGTCTTTAGCTATTGTTTTATAACCAAGAAACATACACTTTATAGATCTAGGCTCTAATTTACCATTATTAGTATGAACATACTTTGTACAATAAAAAATTCTTAAATTTGAGTAATCTATAGGTTTGCTTACCAAATTTCCAATGGGGTTTCATATCAATAGTAATGGAAAGAAAGCGATACACCAAGTAACAAACTATATAAGTATTTTGAGCCTAGAAAGGGTTAGATAGCTTGGCATTTGAGAGTAAGCAACATAGCTTCTACATTATAGTAATGTTAAATCGCTCTGTCACACCATTTTACTAAGGTGTGTGTTGGACTGTGAAGTCTCTCATAGTTTTCTTGAACATAACTTCAACCTATTATCAATGCAAAGATGTTTGATCAACTTTCAAGCTTGTTTCCCGATCATGATCTTTCATTCCTCAAATATGGCAAAAATATTATTCTTCTGCTTGAAAAAGAACCCCCAAAATTTTTTAGAGAAATCAACAATGAACATCAACATATATTTGACACCACCTTCAAATGGTACTATAGATGGTCCATAGAGATTATAATCTATGTAGTTTAAAATTTCCTTGATATTGTAAATACTAGTATTGAACCTAACTCTCTTCTATTTCCAAAACACTTATTCTTCACAAAACTTTAACTTGTTAATATTCTAACCATTTAGGCCCCCTTCATCCCAATTTAGCTATCCCATTCTCACCCATAATCCCAAGGCGCATATGGCAAAGTCTGGTTGCTTTATCTTCTGAATTAGAAAAAGCAATAGCTATCGAATTACCTACCATTGTGAAGCCTTACAAGACATATAGTCTAGCAGCCTTCTTCTGTCCCTTAATCATAATAAGAGAACCTTTTTCAACCTTCAAAACTCCACCTTAACCAAAGTACTTATTCCACTTAACATCAAGAGTACTTAAACAAATTAGATTTTTTTAAGATTTGAGACATGTCTCACATCTTCAAGTCTTCTGATGACTCCGTTAAACATTTTGATTCTAATAGTTTTGGCGTCGATTATCTTATAAAGAGCCCCATTACATATTAACATTGTACCCTTTGACACTGTTTCATATAATGAAAACCAATCTCTGTTAGGACACATATAAAACGTGCAGGTTGATTCAAGAACCCGAACATCACAAGGTTCTCTATTAAAAACAATCAGGAGTTCACTATCATTAATAACTGCTTCAACAATATTACTTCATCAGAATAATTTGATGGTTTTTCTTTTTGATTTAATGTTATTTTTTATTCAAATTTGATGCCCCTTTTTTATTACAGTAATTACAGTTCTTATCATTATTTATAGATTTTGATCAACTCTTTATATCAACACTAAAACTCCTCTCTTGAGTTCTTCCTCAAATAACAAGGCCTTC